TGTGCGACGAATTATTCCTGCCTACTCGATTATAAAAAAGAAATACAGATAGCAAGAAATGCATTTCGACAGACATTCCGCAACTTGACACTTTACACAAATCTTGACACGATGAATTTTTATTATTTACGATGATTTATCGCGCTATCACGGATCGTTACGAAATTGCAATTTTGTTGCTTTTCCCTATACGACTGACGGGTTTTACATGCAAGAATACTCACGTGCGACGCGTAATGCATCGTGTGTGCGACTCGAGACGACTAAGGGACAGACATCGTGTCCGATGTCATTTATACTTTCTCTCCTTAAACGCCTTTTACCCTCGATGATGAGTGCTAGGGTGTAAGGGTGGATCATAAAATTATAATCTTCACATCTTTTGATTACTCAATAAGCTTTATCAAATTTATAAGTAAAAGATTATATATATGCTTGCAGATTTTAGCATCTATAAAATATTACTTCATCCTTCTTTGTATTTATATAAATAAGTACCGGATATTATAAATTTAATATGGTAATAAATGTAGTAGCATACAAATATAAAATAACGTATTAAAATATTGTACCGCAAAGTTTTAGTTTCAACTAAAACTTACAAGAATATATTCTTAAATAATGAATATCCACACACAATTACGGATAAATTACGCGAGAGCCATCGTGCAACTTTAATTTCGGCATAAATTAACTGAGCGAAAACCACGAACTAATAATACTTCATTCGATCGTTTCTACTTTTTATCATAATGGATAATAGATAATAGTATGTTGCAAGATACAACTTTGCGATGCGGGTGGTTTGACATGCGTTCCTCGTTGAAGAGCTTCATCGTGAGAAGAGAGAGAAGTTCGACTGACTGATGTATGCATCTGATGATTGATAGCGCGGTCGCTCTAACAATCCGGCAAACTAATAACCGATTTGACTGATCGTGCCGACGATACCGGGGGCGATGACACCGGGTAGATTGTAAATTTGCACGGGTCGAGGTGAAATTCCCATCAGCCGAGTCGCTCGAAAATTCGGTGTGATTATTACTGGCCGTTGAGTGTTGCTTAAAATGTTGAATTGTCTGTCTTGAGGCTGAGCATTAATCCCGGATCCGTATCTCGGATATTTGGCCACCATGCCGCTTACGCTTCCATAGGGAATCCCACCTGTTGAATGAATACATTATATTGATACATTAGTAAAACTATTAGATAGTATTTACAACAGTTGCAATTGAGAATAATACAATAAAACAAGTAATAAATAAATTAAAAGCTTTGCGCATAATTCTTTCATGTAAATAACTTTGATATGTTGATTATAATGTCACGCTGTTTTGTCTTCATTTAAAATTTCCGAACAATAAATTAAATGTTTATAACAAATGTAAATTATTTTCACAAATTGTAATTTTAGAATTGTAATTTGATGTTCGTGGTAGCGTAAAAAATTAATTATACATATTTGTAGAATTCATCAGATTTTAGTTATAAACTGTAAACATTTATTTTTTACGAACAAGACAAAACAAGTCCTTTAATTAATGTCTTCTATAAATAACTATTCTGCGAAAGAATTTCACGCAACGTTATATGTGATTCAAAAGAATCTCGGAGATATGTAAAGCAGTTTCCTTAATCACTGATGTCTGGAGAATGATCTAACTGTCTGAAGTAAATCTGATGGGATTTAAATAAATAATTTTATATAAATTTGCTATATAATTTATAAAGCAATTACTTTGTAGAAAGCAACTCTGATTTATATTCTAGATAAATATTGTACATACTGTACATTAAACAAGTGTATATTTATTAATAAATAGTTAAATAAATTAATTTAAGCTATATGTTAATGCGTGGTTGTAACATCCAGTATGTTACTGTTCTCGTCGAGTGAAAGGAAGAAAGATTTAGTCATCAATGATCACTAGTGCTGCTTTCTGTTGGAATCCAATCTGAATCATACTCAAAGATAAAGAATAAAAATACTTTACTTAACTTACTTATCCAACAAATATTTAATATATAAATATCTAGTTTAATATAAAAATGATTAAAACACGAGTTGTAAATATTTCTATATAAATTATTTGTTGTCCAAATAAATTAATTTTAATAAATAGAATCATATAACTAATTAAATTTTAATAATTATTTTATAAAAATATAAAATTATAATTACATAAATCTTCATAAATTATTTTAGGATTTTTTTTTGAATTTTTTAGAAAGAGAGAGTTGAGAAATAGGAGTCTTACTTACCGTACGCCAATCCATTCACCATTTCCACTAACCCTGCGCTGTCTGGTGCTACTGTCGATAATTTTAATAGTGCCACGATTCCAAATAGCAGAGTGACCTGCAGAAAATCACATGTGAAAAATCCTGATCCAGAGACTTGAATGCGTGTTTGAGAATATCTTTATATAACTATGCCAGGAAAATGATACCTACAATATAATTTATTCAGTACGTATGTTACAATGATGTTTCTTTGTTGGC